ATTTTGTTGAATGACGATATTTTGAATGTCCGGGAACTTTCGAACACTTAGTCATAATAGAAGGTATGTCATTAAATAACTATGCATGGTAGAAGTTGAATAATTGTTTTTGTTGAGTAAAAAGTTTGGACTGAAGTTGAACAATTAATTTTGTTGAGTAAAATAAATATAGCTACTGAAGTTGAATAAATATTGTTGTTGAATGAAAATAATATTGGTTGAATATGAAAAGAAAATGCGTGTCGTTGAACATAAATATAAAATGTTGAATATAACTGTAAACTGTTGACTAAAAGTATATTTTGTTGAGCATAAATATTAGTTGTTGAATAAAAATATGCAAGTTGTTGAATTTTGCAACATTTGGCTAACCACGTGTGTTTTCAGTTCAATCGAGTATGTAAAAATCACAAGGACAACGGAGAATTAAAATACACGCCCAGTATGATAGCTGTAAAAAAAAAAAAAACTTAAATTTCCGCAGTTGATTTCACCGATTGCCTGTTGAAATAGAAGTCTTTTGTTCACCATCCTCGTTGCAAAATGTACCCAGAGTAGGGATATGGCCTTACTATACTGGGCCATGAAGCTGAACTTCATAACCATAGCCTGGAACCAACAGCATCGCAGAATTCCCAGCTAGCAGTTGTTCAAGAATTAAAGCAGAAATACAGCGAGGGGAAAATAACTAAAGAAATTTTCCCCAGATGTGGAAGGCAGTTCGATTGTTACTCTCAAGGTGTCTTTCAGAGCGGTTAAGGTGGAGCGTTACAGATTTATTCAGACGGCAGCGATTTTTGCAGTAGTTGCCTCTTGGAGGAGTTTTACTTGTAGTTGGGAACTTTAGCTTAGGACACACATGGCAACGAAAAAGCAAGCAGCGCTGCATATGTTGGACGGAATATATCTTACTATCTAACACATTAAGTTCTTGTTATTGTTGCTGCCGCTGTTATCAGTCGTATGGCGTTAATGGACTGATTAGATTTGCTTTGAAGATACCAAAATAACACCAAAATAACAATAGGGACCTTAAGAAACCACGACGGCGACGGCAACGAGGACGTGGAAAAACAAGAGATTGGCAGAACAATAGCTCAGCACGTATAACAGTTAGGTGCTCCACTTATAACCCTAAGGGCACCACAATACTGGACCTCCCAGAAGTAAAATCAACAACTCTCGGGTTAAGATCATGGAGATATGCTGCATCGAAACTATGAAACGCTTTACCGGACGAGTCTCGAAAGATACATTTACTACTTTTAAGAATTACTTAAAAACATTATATCTCACGGGACTCTAGCGCGGCGAGGATCTATCCTTAATTATATTTCTTGTTTTCAATGATTACATTTTATATATTCAACTCGGTGACTACATTGTTAAATTCTTATCTTTTAATATCAGCTAGTTCTTAATCTCAATTTATTTAAACTTATTTGCCTTCAAAAGGCTTTACGATTTCCTTTTCTCTTTTTATTTCGTGGCGTACCTGTAAACTAGCTTTTAGCTAAGCGTTCTAACCACCTTAAATAAATTGATTGATTTATTGAAACTTTGTACATTTCTCGGCCGTCCTATGGAAAACAACAACGTGAAATCGCCAAAATTTGCGTCGTCTGCGAACCGAAACCGCGACGGCAAATTATTTTAATTTCCATTTGGAACTCAACGGCTACTTTAAACGTCATGCTGAAGTTGAGCTGTGGCGCTGTATGAGACAGTAAGCTCCTACAGTTATTTTTTAAATTCTAACGAAGAGTAGAAATTAATGTTTTAATCGAAGTCTTCATTGGCGTCGCCGTCGTGGTTTCTTAAGATCCCTATTATTTAGCTGAGGAGAGATGCGAGGCGTATATTGCGTCATTGAAGAAAATCTGTTAAAGGGATTCTGGTTGCAAAGAAAACAAAATTTCTCGCCTGCAATTCAAATCAGCAGTTTTACTTGTCAGTTGTCCGAGTTAATAAAAGAAATTCAGCACAAAGCGTGGAAAAGATGCCAGTTGTGAGCCACGATAGTCACTGTTCACGCTAATTCTCTATCCACACTATTTCAGCATCCGTGCCATTCCTAATTTTTTAGTCGGGATCATTTTTGGTTCGGTGTGGGGACCATTTCTGGTTCGGTGTGGGCATCATTTGCAGTCCTGGGATCATTTGCGGTCCTGGGATCATTTGCGGAGCCGTACAGATGCCAACAGTGACTGAAAAATGGCAATTTTGCCGAGGATTTATTTTATTTGGAAAAAGAAAAAACCTTGTGGATGATGATTGCACTTAGCAAGACATGGCTACAATTTTAAAACCTTGGAAATACAGGTTTCATCGTGATGAACTATACCGTGGTTATAGTAAATACAGAAACACATGAAAAACATTTTAAAGGCTAAGTGTTATTCTTTAAAACTTCTTAACAATTCAGCTGGGGTTAATCTTGCAAAAAGGATCAATACTGAGACCTACTAACCAAATTTGTTTTTTTTTTTCCTTTTTAATTGGTCAAGAACACAGCCCACATGCACTGACTGGTACCCAACCTAACAATTCCTAGCAGACATGTACATGCATTTGCAACAAAAGGAAAGGACTGGTGTAACTGATTTGAAAATCCACAAAAAGGGGTCGTTACGATCCCCATTATTAAGATATCCCCTAATCAGTGATGCCTGGTAAATATGCAAGAGTCCTGACCTACCAAACAACCAGTGTTACAAAATTAAAAGCATGAGTATGATACCATAACTGGCTTTGCTGATGACCAACGACATCAATTTAATAATTGAGGAATTTGCTATTTGGTACAAAGGAAGAAAAAGCGAGATAAATGATGAGTTATAGCAAAATCTACCCTCCCCTCCCATACACCATTACTTGGTGTTCCTGTACAACTTTCTCCAACACCTCCACAGTCCATCCAAAAAAAAAAAAACAACAACAACAACCATTCCACATTTACTCTTAGCAAACTGCTTCATTTCTTCAGAGGAGAAATAAAAAACCTGAATGTTAATGCCCACATTCCATAAAGATCAACGCTTTGATAAAAATCCGCCAAGATCCTCAAAGGTCAAGGAAAGCAGACATAAATATATAAATTAGAGACCCAACGAACACGCTGAAAACACGTTTAAATTATATGCATCACAATGAGCAAATATTTCATGTTGCTTTTTGTTTTGTTTTGTTCTGTTTTTTTAATTTGGAGATGATCATTTGGGATAACAGATCCGTTTTCAAAGATTTTTTTCCTGATTATTACTAACTATTTGCAAGACAAAGATAATAAGAAGTTATGGCCATAATTAAAATCGTTTGTCACGCCGAGTCAGCAACCTGCATGAAGATTAACCACACGTGCAATGTCTGGACAGAGCTGCGTCTTAAAAAGTCTACGGCTCTCTTGAGTAATATACCCATAGAATCAAATTATCTGCACAGTTGCATCATAAAATCAGTTACTGCACAAGTTGCAGGCATGACCAGCATGCAGGTTAAAATCAGTCAGACTTTGCTTTGGCTGGTGAAGTTGGGTGTGAAGGTTCAGCTGGAGATGAAGACAAACACTCTGATTAGTGTATTGTTTCATTTAAAAAACCAGGAAAGATTTATTACTCGACGTTTCGGGGTCATCGTGACTCCATTATCAAGAGACTAGTTTAAAAACATGCAAATAAGGAAAGGTACAAGAATAGCATAAATTAGACTGAACGGCTTAAACAAACACCTTGATAATGGAGTCACGATGACCCCGAAACGTCGAGTAATAAATCTTTCCTGGTTTTTTCTATGCCTTTGCTTTAGCAAATCCCTGCTGATCAAGTGT